TCCTTATTCCATCCACTGTATGACTTTCCTTATATATCTATGAGTAACGTTCTTCACATTGATTCATTTCTTAACTTCTTTGGATACTAAAACTAGAAGCATCTTTTTTGCATAATTTTTTCTTGATGTTGGCATACCTTTTTTTTGGTAATCATCTGATCTTTGAGATGGGTTGTCAAAGATTCACCATTTCTTTGAACAACAAAATTTTTTTTTTTTGGTAAATTTTGAACAACAATTTTTAAACCTCTTAAAAGTGTTCTTTGGACTTTCAACTTAACTTGCATTGCCTGTATTAAAAATTAAAACATAGTAATACAATACAATTTTATGTTGTTCATGACTTGAATGTTTAACTACAGGTACAATTGCGTAAATTAGATTATATTTTGCTTTTAATGAGGTCCAAGTGACCTTGAAAATAACCACCTCCCCGCAGAGCGGGGTGTTCCTGCTAGTATCATAGATGGACAAATAATACAGTTTCCAGTAACACTGATTACTTTATGACACGGTTTTGATTTCGATCACTTAATTTGAATAATTTTTACTGCAATCCACGGAGGGAGGAGGGCTGCTTAGGGGATTGGGTGTCAGATTTATGACATTTGGTGCAAAGAAGTCAATGAACCTACAGCTTCCTCACTTGTGTAGTTCAATGATTTTGTACTCTTTGTTTTCGCTATTTATCCATTTGAGTTTCTTTCTCTAATTTGTTCAACTTAACTTGTTCACTTTTCATGGACCTCATAGTTTCTTCAATTTTAAAGTCCTAATTGCCAATTGCAGCTTTTGCATTTGAACCTGTCCTCTAGCATGATCTGCCCGGTAGACTTCTTTCTGTGTGCTTAGTACAATATTCACATCGTCACTCTTTTTCAAGTTGGTTTTGATTTGTGTATTCTATGACTTCCTTTCTTATTTGGTTATTTAACTGGACCGGTGGATGAGTCCTAAAACACTTTTCTAAGAGAATGGTAAGCTTACTCCATTAATCCAAAATTCCCCACATGGGGCTATACACAAGGCTTTCACCCGTGCATTTTCAGGTTTACAGAAAATTAATAACAAAGCATTAATGTAACTCAACTAAGTAGCTAAGAGACTAACTAAAACTAGGTGCTGAATTGTAACTTTACTCTCATTTTTTAAAACTCTTCCATTTTTTTCCTGCCATATGAAATAAACCGCAAGGATTATGGGGGGAGGGAATTTCCCAAGTCAATAGGAGATAATGTTCTTTAGTTTTCTTTAGCTACAACTTGAAATGTTCCATTCTAGCTTCAATAGGGAAGTTGTCTAAGCTTACACTTGTAAACTTCTGACATAACAATTTTTGGAGTGAAATCCCATCATTACTTACAAACGTCATGCAACTTAACCTTCTTGATCTTTCAAATAATCAACTTTTTGGTCCCATTCCTTTTCAAGGGAGTACGTTTTCAATACTATCCCACCTAGACCTATCTCATAACTCACTTAACGGATCAATGTCACCTTGAGTTTTCAGTATACCTTCGTTATAGGTCTTGATTCTCAATTGCAACTTTCTTCAAGATCAAATAAATCAATTCCATCAGAAATCATTGACAATCATGGATTTGGCACACAATAATTTGATCTTTCAAACAACAATCTGTCTTTGAGAATCAATTTTGATGCTGACTTCACATTCCCGAAGCTAAAACATTTGATTTTGTCTTCTTGTAATTTGAGTGAATTCCCCAGTTTCCTAAGACATTCAAATGATCTTCAAGTTCTTGACCCTTCTGTTAACAATTTAAGTGGGAAGATTCCAAACTATCTCCAAATGTTGATGAGCAAAAGTCTTTCTGTGTTGAGTTTGCATGCCAATAACTTTGATGGAGATATACCATTTAGCTTTCCAAAGGGTTATGGATTGCAAAGTCTCAACTTGTATGGAAATAAAATGGAAGGCTTGTTGCCAAGATCTTTGATGAATTGTAGCTTGCTAGAGGTTCTAAACTTTGGAGACAACAAGATAGCAAATCTAGGAGTGCTGGTTTTAAGGTCAAATAAATTCCATGGTTTTGTAGTAAGCACCAAAGAATGTCCATCTTTTCCCAAGTTAGGAATCCTGGACCTCTCCGACAATGACTTTTTTGGTCCTTTGCCTGTTCGATACATTAGAAAAGTTCAAAGCAATAGTGGATCCTCATAGAGATGACAATTTTTCTCAATACATGATGACCCACGGTACTCATAGGCTTCTACCACTAAAGAGGTCATTTGGCTTCGCAACTTATTACACAATTTTGGTATTCGCCAATCTCGCTCCACACCTCTTTACTGTGATAATGAGGCAGCTCACCACATTGTTGCCAATCCTGTCTTTCCTGAAAGGACAAAACATTTGGAAATTGATTGTCATTTGGTCCGTGAGAAATTTCAAGCTGGTATTGTTTCTGCACATTACCAATCTCTTCCTCTCATCAACCAGCTGATATTTTCACAAAGGCATTGGGCAAGGACAGTTTTTATTTGATGCGGGACAAGGTGGGCATTCATGACCATCATGCACCAGCTTGAGGGGGAGAGTAAACAGTATCTGGTATAAACAATTTCTGGTAGAAATCTCTCGGAATCAGGAGCATATTTGTGTACAGTTATAACTCTCCTAGACTTTAGGCACAAGGTTAGTTAAGTTATGATTCTGATATAGTTCTTTTGTGTATATATATATGTACAGTGACATACATTATGAATAGAGAATATAAATTAATTCAGCAATTTACACCATAAACACTGGTTGTCACAATGAAAGGATTGACGGTGAGATGCAGAGAATTTTAAGCAAATTCACTAGCATTGATCTCTCAAATAATCAAACAAATGAAATTGAGAACTAAAATAAAATAAAATAAAATAAAAATAAAAAGACAAAAACCTGCAAGTGCCCTCGACTTCTTTCATGAGCTTGGAAACAAGGTTCTCACGGTGGTCGCGGCCGATGTGGCGCGAATGCAGCTGCATGTTGTGCTCCAATACTATGCGGAAGAACATGTTTGAGAGTGAAGAATGAGAGTTCCTCTGTCTATGGATTCTGGGTTCAGGAAGGAGGAAGAGAAAAAGTTAGGGCTTTTAGAAGGTAACTCTCAATTGATGAGAAATCTATGTAATTCAATTCCAATATGAAATGTTAACTCTCTTGTTCTTGATTGATTTACGCTGGTTAAGAGAAAACTGCTTACAAATTGAAGATGCAGAAGACAGAGTAAGACCATTCGACAGCTAAGTTGCAGGGCAAGAGAGAATATAGACGGCGATCACCTCAAACGACGGCGGAGCCAGGCTCAGCTCACTTTGTGGAGAAAGGAGACGAGAAAGACAGTTGATCGGATGGCGGAGATGTGGCGAAGAAGGCGGGAGCGTGCTCTTACTCACTCGAGGATCGGAGAGTCGTTGATCGGAGTGTGGAAGAGATGGATAGCAGGACGAGAGAGAGAAATCGGACGGTGGAAGTGGCGATTGCGGCTACGGCTACGGTGATGCTGGGAGTAGGGAATCGCGTGCTTTATAAACTGGCTTTCGTTCCTCTGAAGCATTATCCCTTCTTCCTCGCTCAGCTTGCTACATTCGGGTATTCTCCGCGCCGTTAGTGCTCTCTTAAGTTTTTTTCCTCCGTTTTAGGATTTCCAGATGCATGTTTTCCGTTTCCACGTCAGCAAATGTTTTTTTATCCTCAGTTTTCCGTCACCTCAAAAGTTAGGTTTTATATATATCTTAAAGAAGCGTTTAAACCCTCATTTTTCATCCTCCAACTTCTGTGCAATGCCATTGGTCTCCTTCACTTGTAAAATCTCCTTTTTCGCCTTTAAACTTTTATTATTTTCAAAAAGGCTGTGTGATTGCTTATTTTATTTTCTATAGTAAATATTATTTGGAGAGGGGTGGAAATGTAAGAGGCTTGTAAGTAAATATTTTGCTTACTTGAAAATTTTAAGAATAAAGTTAAATTTATTTAGGTATTTCAAGCAAAATACTCTTTAAAACTAGATAATATTTGTGCCTTAGCAATAATATTATAATAAAATAAGTACATTTTTTAATTTTTCTAAATATTATATTATTTTTTGGAGTTTTATGTTTTTCAAATCTAAGAATACTATTAAAATGTGTTAGTGAAATGAAATTACTAAAATAACATTAATGAAATAACATAAGGAGAGTTTTGTTAATAATGTTTTAGTAAATTTGTATGTTAAATTGTACTGTAATTTACTTTTACAATTTATTTATAGATAAAAATTACAAGACCAAGAGTCTTATAAATAAAATATGTTATTTTACCCAAATAAAAAAGTTCCCTCATGTTCCTCACTTTCATACACTTTTATTTTTTAAAAATACTTTTAGGTAAAAAAAGTGTCTCAAATTAAATAATTTTATAAGTATTATATAATTATAAAATATTATTATAAAACTATAGCATCATAGGATTTACATGTTATGTATCTTTTTCTGCTGCACTAGTAGATCTTTAGCACCCAATGTACCACAAACTAAGCATTAGATAAAGAGAAAAGGCAAAGGAAAGACTATGCATGGTCCAAGATCTAGGGTAAAGTACATGACTGTACATGGAAAGTATAGTTTATCTTCTAAATTTACTTAAATATTTTTAACAAAGCGATTCAAGTTCTTTAGAGTTGACTGTACATGGAAAGTATAGTTTATCTTCTAAATTTACTTAAATATTTTTAACAAAATAATATAAAAATAATTTTATTAAAAATATTTAAGTAAACTTATAAGGTAATTGTATTTCTAATCTATAATTTACCCTAAAAAATACTCTTTTGAAGATAAAATCAAAATTGAAAACTAAAAACTTGTCTCATTAGTGTTGAGAGCATTTAGGTCAACTACGAAACCTTTGCTTTTTCGATGCAAATTATAAAAAGAGTTATCGTACGTGTCTTACTAACTTTTATAACATGGGGAGTTATGTGCATACAAATCAAAACCAGAAGGCGGTAGATGCAAATTTGGTTAAAATAATAATAATAATAAAATAAATAAAATAAAATGAAATA